CTCCCACCCTGAACATGTGCAGAGATGCCCTTTGGAGCTTACCAGCAGGCTGCGTTTTGTCTAGAAGTTAGATTTTTATTGCTTTGTATGCTGAACACCTTCAGAATACTTTGCTTAGTAACATGCTGTTAATTATCCAGGGAGAAATTGAAAAGTGGCTGAACTCTCATGTTTAGTTAATAAGACCCAGTCCTGTCTTTGTTTACTTTACCATGTCTTGACAAAGACCTCGGTGGTGTTCCCTAATTGCTGAGTATGATCTTACTAGCTTGACTAAAGCCCCTACAGTGATTGGTTCTGACAATCTTGTTCAGCTTCTACATCTGGATCCAGGGCTGCTAATGGGACTGTGGAAGGTAAGGATATCCTTTGATATGGTATGTTGTTTATTATGGTTGCCTAGCAAACACTGTTTTTTCTCACATGTGTTTAATCATTTATAAAGTAAAAAAAAAAAAAAATCTCTCAAACTTCAATTCCAGCATGCATATGCTGGTAGTGAAACAGTTTCAAAATCACAGCTGAATCCTAATAGCCATCTACGGTCAGAGTTCCAAGTATTTGCAGGCTAGCTGGACCTGAATTTTGCAATGCTTTCATTTATTCTTTGAAATAATTAAACTATTTTGATATGATACACAGGAAAATAAAATATTAACAGCATGATATCTGCTGTTTAGTTTTGTCCTTAAATTTTATTTTCTGGTTAAAGTACATTTGCAGCTTTTATGTTTCTGAATTGACCTTGTGTCATTTAGTTCCAAGTTGAGGTGTACCTGTGATATCGTGCTCTCTCTCTCTCCTGCGAGCACTCCTTACCTAATTTGTAGGCTCCTACTTATACACTCCAGAATGGGACATGTGGCTCACTCCATGTTGGACTGCATGACCAACCTGTAATATTTTCTCCCCTCCTTCCCTCTCCTCCCTGCTCCACCCTCTGTCCTGTCATTGTCACAGGGTAAGTGGTAACTTGGATCTGTTTGGCATTGTTCTTGAGTTGGCATTTCCTGGTGACTGAGCTTTTGCTAGCTTCACCTGTCCCCATATAAAACTCTGCAGTTCTATCACTAACAGAGTAGATTCTAGGGTGGCAGACCGTCTTACCAACCCAGTTAGGATGACTGACTCAAGTGCATTTGACTGCTACGTATTGCTGCGCTACAGTGTTTCATTATGAAATAGTTTAAATTAGTTGGCATTTAAATAGTCATGGATCTGAAATGTAAACAAGCCATTGTGGTGAATGGGGTAATTTACATTTCTTAAAGTTGTTATTTTTTTTTTAAGAGTGACTAAAGGCTTAGGCAAGTGACAGCAATTAATTTTACTTCTGATTCATGTTTCTGATATTTCTTTGTAACCTAAGGGTATGTAAATCTGTGGTAAATAAATTAATGGCCTTATCATTGTTGTTTTGAAAGCTTTCTATAGCTCTTGATATGAATGATACCTATTGCTGCACTGCACAAAGTAAACTGCTGCTCAATGTGAGAGGACTGCTGTTCTAAGAGTATAATAATGTTTTCTTGTGCTTTTTATTGTGTTTAAATATCACCTTACTCATCAAAGAGGAGAGTCCTGGATGTTAACAACTTACTAAATATCTAGTACTGGACTGCATTAGTACGTGTGTCAGCAGATCAAGGGACCTGATTCTTCTGCTCTATTAGGCAATGGAGGGCCACATCTGGAGTACTGTGTCCAGTTTTGCCTGCCCGTCCCCCCCCCCCCGGCCATTGGAGAGAGTCTGGCAGGAGGCAACAAAAAATGTTTTGGGGGCTGGGGCACATGACTTCTGAGGAGGCTGAGGGAACTGGGCTTATTTAGTGTGGCGAAGAAAATACTAAGAGGGGATTGAATAGCATCTTTCGACTACCTGAAGGCTCATTACAAAGAGGCTGGAGCTAATTGTTTTTGTGGTGTCATCTGACACCATAAGAAGCAATGGTCTCAAGTTGGAGCAAGAGAAGTTTTTAGCTTGGATATTAGGAAGAACTGTCTCACTAAGAGGCTAGTAAAGCACTGGAACAGGTGATCTAGAGAGGCTGTTGAATCTCCATTCTTGGAGGCTTTTAAGACCTGGCCTAGAGAGTCTTTGCTGGGATCTAGTTGGGGATGGTCCTGCCTTGAGCAGGGGGTTAGATTAGCTGACCTCCTGAGGTCCCTTCCAATCCTAATTTTTCTATGGTTCTGTAATGATGACCAGGCACTTAGCAAATCACTCTCTTCCCCACCCCCCAATTTTTATTTGCCTTTTTCTTTATATGTTAATTATGAAGTGCAGAAATGAATCTTGTGACTGGTATCCACACAGGAGAATTCTATATCATGGCTTGGCAGTGTTATGCAGGTGCCATTACTCTTTTTACATAGGGACCTTACAGTTTATGCATTTCATGGAAACTGTGAAAAGCAGCATTATACAGTTGCTGGGATATCTGGCATTGGCTATGATTTTCCTGTGAAATCAACCAAAAAAAAAAAAGCTAGTGATGAAGGTACACTTTGCCAATGAGTGGCGAGGGGTGGAGCTGTTTGGACTACAAAAAACCTGTTGTTTTGCCATGACTTAGGTCCCTATTACACACTATTGTGTTTGGATATGATGTATAGTACCAATCTATAAGAAGTGCTTCCTTGTTGAACTATTATTAAAATTGTAATATACTGTAATGATCTTGGAGACTTAATAGGTATCATGTTTTGTGGGGTTTAATGATGCTTAGGAAAACATTTTTGATAAAATGTATTCCTTCTAATTAATTGTCAGGAAGGGAATGAGATTGCTTTTGTTGTGGCAAGTCTTCATTATCACCAGATTATTGAGAAAAGCACACTGGGCTCATCCACTACGTAAGTATCACTTTCTCTTTGTATGTGGGATCCTAGGTATAATCTTGTACATAAAGCATTAGGTATGAAAAATTTAAAATTAACTGGTGGTAAAGGAGGTTTATTATTATGACATTAATTATCAATGGTAGTGCTTTTCGCAGAGAAGAACTGTTATGCATTAGAGTTGCAATAACTGGCTTCAAAAAAAAAAAAGAAGGGAAGTATGTTTCATGCTAAAACATCCCCTGACGACATTTAATAAAGAGGCCTCGTAAACTTAATCACACTCACTTATATAAAAGTGCTTACTGTGTGTGTGTGTGTGTGTGTGTGTGTGTGTATATGTATATAAAAAAAAAAAAAAAAAAAAATACAAAAAAACAACCTGAATTGCTTAAGTTCAGTTTTTACAAAAGCTTTACCTTTTCCCCGCTCCCTCTTCCTCCTTGCGGTTTTCAACTTTATTAGATTTATAGTTTCTATTTTAAACATGTATATAATATATATTTACAGACATCTTGTTTGTTTTTCTTTTGTCCATTTTAAAATATTCAAAATGAAGATTACTGTCAGTTGGCTTTAAGCAGCTGCTTCTTTTTCCCCCCCCCCCCCCCCCCTTTGTCCATACATTCTTTCTCTTTGCTTGCTTTTCCTTGTCAGATTTTTTTCATACAAAGCATACCTAAAAACTACTGTTCCTACTGCAACCCTTGCTGGGATTTAGTAAATCATTTAGTGTAAGTGATTTAGTTTTCTCTTATTGGACTTAACTTATGTGTCCATTTATGTACTTTGAAAAAAATTCTCACCAGAGGCAACCTTCCAGGTAAAAACTGAGTGTAGCTGCTCTTCCAGTAGAAACTGCAGGTATACAGACATTCGAAATTTTTCTCCCAGAGCAATTGCCATACTATGGGAAAAATAACATAGGAAGTCTCTCCCTGGAGCCTGAACTTGTGTACACTACTTGGCTTCTGAGAGAAGTTGCAGCATAGTTTTCTGGCTCCCCAGCTTTGCTTTCAGTGCACCCCCCGCTTCCCTTGGGTCCAGGGAAGACTCTGTTGTTGCAGCCAAGCAGGCAGCCGCTTCACAATCTCTTGGTCAGGGGATTTGGGATAAGGGTTTTTTTGTTTGGTAGAAAACAAACAACCAACCAGAGGAGAAAAAACCTAAGAGAACTCTCTCAGCTCTTCTGAACATGTATATGCAGCCAGAGATTCACCATTGTACTCTACACCAGGCCCAGGCAGGTTATTTCATTGCCTGTTCCTCTAGTGAAGTAAAAGATTTTTAGACCCGTGGCTACAGTAGAAGAGTCCATCTGATGGAAGTTTTATAGGTGCACACTTGAAATGTTTCCAGTGGTAGATTTAGTTAGTTGCTTGCGGTTAGTTTTCTATGGCGTGATATTGATCTGTGTAGGGAGTATGGTAAACTCAGCTTAAGCTTCCAAATTATAAATGGCAAAGTAGAACACCTGTGTAAAAAACAAACAAAACAAAACAACCCCCTCTTAAGGTGCAACCTCCATG